GAAAACATTTTTATACTGTATAAATGAGTGTTCAGCTCAACTTGAAGAAACCTCTACCATTAGTTTAAAGGATTCAAAACCACATCCAAAGGCTGTTAATTAAAAGAAAAAGACATGCAGGGCATATGCACAGGGAGAGAGAAAGAAAGAAGAAACGTTGAGGATGGGTTCTAATACAGATTGAGTTTGAACTCACACAGTTACATGGAAAAATACTACCATACCTTAAATCTTTCTCATTTTCTACATTGAGCCGATTAGCTTCTTGAGCCTTTTCTGCCATCCAGCGGGTTACCAGTTCTTGGTTATCTTCAGTGGTTTTTCTTAATTTTTCTTCAAGAGCAGTAAAGGTGATTTGGAGAGCATCATATTCATCCTTAAGAGTCTGATTAGCTCGTTCGAGATCTTGAAGCTTGTTGCATAAATCATGACACTCTGTCTCCAGTTCAGATATCTTCTGTAAATATTCTGCAATTCTTCAATAGAAGCAACTAATATAATAAAAATCTGAAACTAGCTAGGACTAAGATAAAGTTCTATTGGTAATAAATGGATTTTACTCACTTGACATTATTTATTTGTATTTCTTTGTCCTTCTGTTGTATTTGATTGTTTAGGTCAATCACAGATTGAGCCAACTACAAAAAAAGGAGAAAAATGATCAATATCAATGAATAATATTAACATTAATTAACAATGTTAACTATGTTAATGAAAATCCACAATTCTTAACATAGGCAATAGTTTTTGTGTCTCTTTCAGTGCATGCATTTTATTAAGAATGTATCTTATATCTCTCAATCATAAGCAAGATATGCTATATTCATTTGGCAGATTCACAGACCCATATGGAACCAACTTAATAATCAATATATACAAAAATGAAAAGATAATCAGGACTACATAATGTAGCTGAAAGGTACCATAAGTTGTACCTTAATTCTAAATACAGAATTTTAAAAGAAATAGGCATCGTAATTCATTTTCCAGGTTTCTAGCAACAGATGAAGAAAGACATCACAAAAGCAAAGTATCTTAATTAAAAATGGAATACATGCTGCATTGTCTACAATAATAAATATTAACTTTTTATTACAGTAAAAGCAACAGAAAAGCTGAAAGGCTGACTGCTTACTATAAAAAGTTATTCTGGAGATATATTTTTATTGTTGTGAAACTTATGGGATAGAGAAATAAATAACAGCATGCACATTGTACTGCTGCAAGTAAGCATAATTTTTTCCTAACCTCGCCCCGTTTCTTGTGCAGCTCTGTCAATTCCTCTTGATGTTTAATCCTTAATTGAGCTACTTCTTGAAGATGAGCATCATTTCTTGCACCATCATGTCCTGGGCTGAATTTTCCAAAGGAATAGAAGGTAAGATGCCGAGTATGTCTATTTAATCATACAGATGTTCAACCTACAGATACTCTTCAGGTTAAAATGGCAATTGTGGGAAGTCACAATGAATGTTGGCAATTGCAATCACACGCCAACAGGGACACTGCAATGGCTGGAATTCTCAGGACTGGTTGTAAGTACTATTTGTCCAATACCAGTGTAACTTTGAACTGTGCAGAATGGTCGTTAAGCAAGTACCTATACTAAACAAGAACATCTCCATATATTGATATTCCACTGACATTGCATTGAAATTACATTAAGCAATTCCCATTCCTCTTGATACTGTATGCTACTGATCTCTATGTAAAAGAATGAAGTCTCTTTTTAAGGACCATTTGGATGTTTGGTGGGAGGAGACTTATCTATCATTCCAAGTGTCCAAAAATATGAAATTATTCAATACGCTACTAACATTTTATTAGTATTATAATTTGTATAAATTTATATATTCATATGACATTACATAATTTGATGTAATTTGCATCATTTGCATAACCTATCACCATATAGTCCTTGACCTACGACCACAATTTGGACCAGAATTTCCACTGTTAACAAGGTAGTTGTTAGGTGAGTCACTGTACTTGTTAAGTGAATCATGTGGTCATTACGTGAATCTGGCTTCCTCGTTGACTTTGCTTGTTGGAAGCCTGCTAGGAAGGTTGCAAATAGTAATCACATGACCACAAGATGCTACAATGATTGTAAATATATACTGGTTGCCAAGTACCTGAATTTTGATCACGACCATGGGGATAATGTGACAATGTGAAGACTGATCATAAGTCACTTATTTCAGTGCCATTGTAACTTCAAACAGTCACTAAATGAATAATTGTAACATGAGTATTACTTGTATAAATTGCACATATGTTATAAAATTAAGATTATATTAACATAATAAAGCATGTACAACATGTACAGCACCAAACATAAAGTTCTGCAGTAGCTATTAATAGTAAAAAAAATTGTGATGAATATTACACAGAAGAGCAAAATACTCTGTTATATTGTTGGTTTTAAAGAAGCCACAATAACTATCACTAGAATTGATACAAGTACCTGATCTCATGCCGGTTTGGCAAATCATACTTTTCCACCTGTAGCTTGTCAGCCAGCACTGAATGGAAATCTGACTTCTCCAAGAGCTTGTTATCTAACAGGCCGAAATATTTAATTTGAAAAAAAGGGGGGAAATAATGTTATTAATTGTGCAGTTGATTAATAATAAGTTTGCTATGCCATTATACTCTTTGAACTGAGACAAACATTTTCACAGAAAGTATACCTATTTCAGACAAGCTCTTGTATTGCAGTGAAAACATGCCTAATCAAGACTACATTCTCTCACAGTACACAATAATAGGATTATGAGTTCAGATTGATTCAACTAGGCTTCTGTAAATGAATGAGTCATTTAATAAGACATTGTTCTACTTTATAATCTGGTATTTTGAATAAGAAAATCAGGAAGGGGGTTCTCTGATGTAGTCACAAAAGATTGTTTGAGATTGCAAAACCTCTTTCTCACCAAATGGGTGCTGGTCTGACAGCAAATATCTCAAGCAATCAAGTAAGTCTCCTTATGCTACTGAACTAATGAGAAGGTTCCTTGCCACTGAACAGAACATAAACAAGAAATATCCTAAGTTCAGGGTTGGAATCTATATTTTATTACAACCCCAAATCCATAAAAATGGGCCAGTTTGGTGTAGTGCTTAAAGATCGGGCCAGACTCCAGGAGATCACATGTTCTAGTTGTGTTTTAGCATGAAGCCAGCTGGGTAACTCTCTCAGTCCTAGGAAGGAGGCAATGACAAACCATTTCTGAAATTCTTGCCAAATTCTTCAAAGGAACACACACACATACACAAACAAATATGAAATATAATATGCAAATAGCATTATGCCTCATTGGAGTGAATACTTTCTAATCTTTGTTTATATGATACATTAATCCACAGGCAATTGAATTCACCAATTGTTTGGGTGTCTATTACAAGAATGCCAAAAAAAGCCAAATAACTGTGTTTGCACAACACACACAATCACTAGCCAATGAACAAATTTTAGCCTAATGTATTATGTGAACCTGGCCTAAAAAACAATAGTATTTATAAATTTATGTTCAGTTTATGAAGTTGAAATTAGTAACACACAACTCCTTTTTTCATACAATATACATTCCTGCTTTTTTCTTTGAGGTTTATTTTCTGGAATCTATTGAAGAAAAATTGTATTCAATTCAACTGTATTGCAAGACAGTTAATTAGGAAATGTTGCTAGTTTACTGAAACTTTACTGAAACTGTCCCAAAGACTCAGCAACCAAACTAATTAAACTTCAGTAGCAACAACACAACATTCCTTATCTAGTCGAGCAATCACAATATTTATAATTGAATTCATTGGCAATTCTGGCCTGCTAGTTAAAGTGGAGGATTTTCAGATGATTCTTCGGAAAGGCTTACATTGCAAGATTATCTCTTCAAAGGCCTGTCTTTGTAACCGGTCTCGACGCTTCAGTTCATCCAAGATATGTCGCTTCCAGGTGGGGAAGCTCGACGTCTTAAGCCCAACAGACATGTTGCCGGAGATCTGGGACGTTACACCCTGCCCCAAACCCAAGTCATCTGGCTGCGGGTTTCCCCTATGACAGAGTTGGTGGAGGAGAACTGGATCCAGGACTCTAAAGAATATGGTAACGATAACAATGCAGTAGCAGACAAGTCAGGCAGCCCGATCGGGGTTGAGAAAGAAACAGGAATTCGAGAAGACCAGGAGAATGAAAAGGGACCAGGCGATTGGGAGGCGTCCAGTCATCCTGGCTGCCGGACCCACCCAGGAATAGACCCAAGACCGACGGGCACAACTCACCGCTGAGCATCAAAGAGAAAGAGGGTGGCAGTTGGATGCCGCCTTCACCTGGAAGGCCCCTCCGCGCACCCCTCGATCGGGCCGCAGCCCCCATCCATTTCCGCGACAGTCTTTCACAGAGTTCCCCTTGGTCCGAGAGAGATGGCGTCACTAGCGGGCTTTCTCTTCCTGCGTCGCAGGCTAAGCACATTAGGCTCCAACCTCAATGCCTGATTCACAAGGCCGCCCTTCTTGCAGAATGTGGATTGCGCGTTTAGCGATCACGCATCCTAAATCAGTGACTACCTCGCCGGTCCATCCTTGCGAGTGCCCTTCTTGCTAAATGTGGGCTGCACGGCAAAAGCGGGGTAGAAAATGGCTGCAGACGAGGCTAGTCAGGGCTCCCTGGATATACGCCATTTTAGACAAGGATGCTGGGAAGAGGCGCCTTTGCTGCGCGCCACTTTAGGCGGGGAATTGTGGCATAGTTGCTCTCGGCTACACAGATCGATAATTAGGATAGGGTAGAGCTGGAAGGGATCTTGGAGGTCTTCTAGTCCAGCCCCCTGCTCGAGCAAGAGAACCTATATTAATTCAGACAAGTAACAAGTCCAGGGATAGGGAACCTTGGCTCTTTTATGACTTGTGGACTTCAATACCCAGACATCCTGAAACAGGCATGCTGACTCAGGAATTCTGGGAGTTGAAGTCCACAAGTCATAAAAGAGCAAGGTTGCCTACCCGTGGTCTAGTCTCTTCTTAAAAACCTCCTCTTTGGAATGCATACTCTGGGCTGAGCTTCAACTCAAGTGAGCTGGGGATGACGTTACCTTTCCCTTCCCCTCCCACGCTGTACTCAGTCCAACTTCTCTGCCAGCAGACCCCGGCGCAGATCAATATGTCTCAACCTTGGCGACCTTAAAGATGCGCTGGCTGAGGAATTCTGGGAGTTGAAGTATGCACAACTTAAAGCTGTCAAGGTTAAGAAATAGTGAAGTAAACTAGAGCGCTACAAATCTTAGTTCTGTGTTATAATTGGGCCGAGCTTGTATCCTCCGTATGTCTTCTCCTTCAACTCCGGTCGACATTTATCCAGTGCGAACGATGATGACGGATCGCGCAACTCGGCTTTGGGAAAAGAGGTGCTGCTCATCATTTCAGTTTATTTGGTTTTCCTCTTATGGCAGCGGAAGATAAATCGTTTCCATTCAAAATGGGGTGATTTTAACAAAGCCTGCTCCAGGACTCCAGCAAAAGAAAGTGTTAGTTGTAATTTTATGTCGGCTTTACAGAATGAAGTAGAAATAGGTGGTAGAAAACAATATGCTCCAAATATCTTTATTGCTGTGATCTTTATTTTCCAGTAGAGATTTTAGAAAATTTAATTAAATATTTTTATGTTTTGAAGACCTTTGAGGGATTGTTTTGGTTTGAGCTTTCTTCCTTACCATTACAGGTGGTCCTAGACTTACAACAGTTCATTTAATGACTGTTCAAAGTCACAACAGCACTGAAAAAAGTGATTTATGACCATTGCAGCATCCCCATGGTCATGTAATTTACATTTGGATGCTTGATAACTGACTCACATTTATGATGGTTGAGTGTCCTGGAGTGATGTGATCCCCTTTTGCAACTTTCTGACAAGCAAAGTCAATGGGGAAACCAGATTCACTTAACAACCGTATTACTAATTTAAGAACTGCAGTGGTTCACTTAACAGATGTGGTGAGAAAAATCGTAAAATGGGGCAAAACTCATTTAAAAATTTCTCACTTAGCAACATAAATTTTGGACTCAATTGTGGTCATACGTTGAGAACTATCTGTATAGAATTTCGCATGTGTGTACAATAAGTGAATTTTGTCTGTGATAAATAACCTTCCTGTGCACGCTATAGTTCCTTCCATCCATCCATCCAACCTCTTTCTTCAGTAGTCATTTACAGCATTCTCACAATCAGGCTAGGGATTACTAAGCAGGAAATTTTCGTAAGTTGTATTCATGTCAAACTTTATTGTACTAAACTGTAATGTTCATATTAAGGAAACATTCACTGTAGATAACTTTTACACTCATCTTTATATTTTCCAGGTCTGGACCTCAGATGAACACCATTTTGAAGATTTAGAAATTTAGCTTTGCTACCTAGGCTTATCATTGGTTACAAGGTCATTTTCTAATTTTTCAAGATAAAAGAGTTTTGGTCCTAGGTAATGAGTAAATGACTTATTTGTTTGCATGTTTATACCATTTATATCACTCCGTTTTCTAAAGCTCTTAGTAACTTGCATTATTAATACAATAAGATTAAAATAAATCAGTGCAATTATAATTAAACAATTTGATGTGCCACCATTTGGGGGTAGCATAATGTTATTCATCTCCAAATGCCTTTCTCAAGAGACATGACTTTAAGCTCTATAAAAAAGGAGGAGGTAATTCAGATATTCATGAATAAGCTGTTCCAAAGTAGGGCTATCACTAAGAAGGCTTGAATCTGGAGTCCCTAAGGATGGTAGAGGACAGGAAGACCTGGAGGAATGTTGTCCATGGGGTCGCGAGGGGTCGGACACGACTTCGCAATTAACAACATAACAAAGGATGGTATTCCAGAGGTGATGAGAACCTCAACAAATCTTTTCTCCTCAGCAAATCTGTTCTCCCATATCTAATTGGACTGGCAAATTCAACTTGTAAAAAGCTAACACAAACATATCCTACAACATGTACAGCAGAGCTTCACAAGCTTCACACATTCCACAAAAAATACTAAAGCTCTCTCAGCTTCAGGTAGGTATCAAACAACAGAAAAGTGCAGGCCCTACAGTAGTCCATGATGGAGTGACCCAAAGTTCAACTCACCAGAATTGGAAAAGGTTATAGAGTCATTTATAAAGGAGAGTAATAAAGTAATAAATATATCTGCTTTTTCATACATTACAACTTAGCTAGTCATGTGGAACAGACTAATAATAATAATAATGTGTATTTAAAATTTATAAAACAATAAGCTTCATTGTGAGAGAGGATGACTTTAAGCCCTCAATCAGTCATATATGGTGCTGAAAAATCAGGTGCACTGAGCATTAGACTACCTTATCATAAAAGGATCTACTGTATTGATTTCAGTATCTGGGCTCTAAATATTGAAAACCGAAGCAAAAGAACACCTTGAAGTAGAATGATTGGTGTAGCTTTTGTAGGAATTAATGGTGCTTCTAATTTTTAATAGGCAGGGAAAGAGCCAAGAAACATGACTCAGAGTTAAAAATAGCTCTCCTGAGAGCACAACAAAAGCTTTGTCACTGTCTTGCACAGTAGAGCCAGAGTAAGTGACAGTATAATGAGTATTTAGTGCAACAAACAGCTAATATATGAATACCACTGAGCATAGTATATACTGCTTTACAGGAGTTTCGACTACCACTGGCTTTTAACTACTTTTAGTCTGAAACGTAAAAAAAAAAAAAAAAAAAAAAAACCCTCTAGCCTCCTTCCTGTAATTCTGCAACTAAGACAGTACAAATTGTCTCTGATGGGTAACTAGTTATGAGGAGATAAGCCCAACCTATAAATGTAAGTCATATAGTATGATGAAAATGAAGACAACCTAAATCACTATTAAATTTGACCAGAGCCACCTAGTTCCAAAATGTAGTGTAATGCTGAAACCAATGATTTGTTTTTCATCCCTTCCTGAGAGGCATGCAACCTTCTGGCCAAAGGCTGCACTTTTAAAGTGGTTAGGGAAAGAAAAGATAATTTTGACTAAATTAATAGTAATTCACTGTGACAGCATCTAGCTAACATCTTGAAAAATAAACATTATTGTACTTAATAAGTTCTTGGATGGGAAATCACCTGGAAATACCAGTAAATACCAGCAGTAGGCTAAACTGGAAAATTAAACAGTGGCCAAACATTTCCATATGCTTGTCAAAAAAAAAATGAAATGGGTTCTAGGAATCAAGCTTTACTCAAGGGACGTTTTACTTTTATATAATTATGTCTTGTCTAAACTTTCTCTTCTGTCACATTAACAATCAAAATTGGGAAAGAACTTTTGAAGGATCCTTATGGTTACAGTTATGATGTGGGATAAGCTGTATACTTCTGGCCTATATTTTTCTGGACTGTTCAAATGCAATCACAGCTGTCAACTTTTTTCAATTTAATCTATCCCATTAGTAAGGCTACCCAGTTCAAAATAATTGTTAGGTCTTAAAAGAGATTGGTTCAAGAAACACATACTGGCAATTCTTAAAACTTAAAGATCAAGACCTGTTGAAATAAAAGATTCTACCACTATTCTGGTGAAGAAATTCACGGAATAAGTGTGGAACTATACAGTTTAATGTTGTTGTGCTTAAGAAATAACTGCTCTAAACTCATACAATTTAATAACACTGTGTATCTGAATTGGAATAGCAAAATTTTAATTCTGCAGTGTGTACTTTTAAATATTCTCTTTATATAGTAATATCTCTGTTGGAAAAAGAAAGTTTAAATATATCTCAGGCCCTGTTAAAAGTAGCTGGGAGCAATTCTGCTGCTGTTACCATCAGCAGCTTTTGGCAGATTTTCTGAGAAAGGAATTGTTGGATATGAAGAAAATAACTTTTTTGTGTGGATACCTTTTACCATTAAGCTTTTACTAGGGCACAGATAGATGGTTGTTGCTTTGGGGGCATGAATAATGGAATATATATATTTTAAATGTAAGTAATCAACAAATTACAAATTACTCAATCTTAACTGAATCCTTAGATATACTGTATGTTAAAAGATGGGGAGAGTGTTATGGCTGAAATAAAAGCATCTCCCTGTGAACTTGTGGAGACCAGCTTCAGATTCCCTGTTTGCATATACCTATCATACTCAAGGAACTATTCCATTCACAGAACAAAGTCCCTTGCTTGCTTGCTGAAAAGGAAGAAATATTGGTCATTTTTAACAGAATGAAATTCACTAGAAGTAGTAGAGATGCCTCCCCTGCCATTCTCTAATGCAGTTTTTTCAATTCTGGCTAATGCCTGGAGAATTCTGAGAATTGAAGTCCACACATCTTAAAATTGCCAAGGCTGAGATGTAGTGGTTAAAGGCAAACCTAATAAGGAAGAGGCAACAAAATACAATACCTGTGCAAACCTGCAGGCATTATTTAACTGCAGATGCTAGTCATTTAAGAACTTGTGCCTAATCCCATCAGCATGCCTCCCCTCATTAACAAGAGACAAGACTATTTCCAGCATTGCTGCTGCTTTTAAAAAACCAAACTCTTCCATAACAAAGCAACAGCACTTGTTACACAATCAAACTTGTCTGGTTTTCTCTATATCAGAGCTTTTCAACCTTTTCGTCCATTGTACCACTTTTAGGATATGGCAACATCCGAGTACCACCAGTCGCCTAGCAAGGGGTCAAAAACCTGATGACCCCCCCCCAAAAAGGAAAAAAGTGATAAAGTACAAGTAGTCCTCGCTTAGTGACTGTTCAAAGTTACAGTGGCACTGAAAAAAGTGCCCCCCAAGCCACAGCTGAGCAAGACATCTGCTGCCCACCCAGTGGCGCTCTTCCTCCTGTCTGAGGTTTTCATTGTTATAAGCAGCGGGGGTGGGGTGGGGGTGGTTTGGCTTTTATTTAACCACCTGCTGGGTTGTTGGTCACTTCACATGACCCTGGGACACTGTGACCATCATAAATATGAATCAGTTGCCAAGCATCTGAATGTAAATCACAAGACCCTGGAGATGCTGCAACATTCCAGCTGATCGGTGCTTCTTCTGAGCTCAGCAGAAGCACCAGGATCAGCGTCGAGCTCCAGCTGGAATTTGGCGCTTATCCTGGCGCTTCCACTGAGCCCTGACAGCCCCGGAGCGCCAATCAGCTGGAAAGCGGCGCTGATCCTGGCACTTCCACTGAGCCCTGACAGCCCTGCAGCTCCAGCCATCTCTTGCTCAGGCTTGTGCGGTGCTGCCACCAGTTCAGCTCATTCCCTCCCCCACTACCACTTTTCTAGGATGGTCACATACCACCTGCCAGGTGCCAATGTACCACAGGTGGTACCCGTACCACTGGTTGAAAAGCCCTGCTCTATATGGATACAAGGTCTTGACTGAAAATTGGAGGCCTAGAATTTCCAGCTCTACAATTCAAATTCTTATAAAATATTTTATCTTTTTGTTGTTTGCTGTTCCCCTCTATACCTGCTTATATATACAAGCTAAAATTTTTATTTTTGTTTAAAATAAAATAAATAAAATAAAAATTTATTTTATTTTCTTTTTTTTAAAAAGTACATGAGTGCTACATTTGTTTCTGTTATCCAATCAGATCACAATAAATGACTTAATTAAAGATACCAAGTCTGTGCCCTTAATTAAAATATTGAGGATGAGACTGATTTGGGTTGTTAGCCACAACAAAAAATAAAGCACAAGGAGAATTAAAATTAAGCATAATTGTATGAGACTTTATCATAAAGTTGCAGATAATTTTGGATGAGTGAATATATCACAGCTGTTGTAATATGAATTGTAAATGTGCAAAAAAGGATAAATTAACAAGAATTTTTTTTTTTTGCAATTTAACAAAGTACATCTGTTCACAGCAATTTATAGCACAGATTCATCTGTTGTCTTCTGTCCTGTGTTGTATATTGTCAAATTAAATATGCCAATATATGGCTGAAATCCTAACTATTTACAGGATAATTTATTCCGCTAAAGTCCATCTAGCACTCTTAAATCTTCAACATATTTTTAATAGGTCTTCCTGCCATGGATGAATTTAACACCAACAATCAGTTTGGCTTTCTCTGTGGCAGGATCCATTGTATAGAACAGTGGTTCTCAACGTTTGTGTGACGGCGACCCCCGTCACACAAACGTGCTGTGCATACACATGTGCGTTGCGCATGGGGGGCACTGCCCCCCCATGCACGGCGCGGATGCGCGCGCCGCCCTCTGAGGGGGAAAAATGGCAGATCACCTTGTTTGGCGACCCCCGAGAAATGGTCGATCAACCCCAAATGGGGTCGCGACCCATAGGTTGAGAACCCCTGGTATAGAAACAATTACCGCTGAAGTTACAGTAGATTTCTTCTGCATTAAACTCAGGTATATCTTAAAATTTATTTATTTTCATAAAACTCTTAATATTACTGTTTTAACATTCATGTTTGATATCAGCCCTATTTAATTTGTTTTTA